TGCTCATGCAGAGCTATTAGGAAACACTGAACAGTCACCACTGCTAGGGTGGAAAACAGCAGCAGAATAAAACCACACAGCACTACTATACTATAGCTAAGGAATCCCCTACACACTTCCAGCTGAAACTGTTCTGAGAATTGAAGCCTGCAGTAGAATGCATTTAGCTAAATTAATTTGACTGGAACAACCCACCCCCTTTCAACTCACCTACAGAGGTCAGTGCCACGTGGACCAGTGTGACAGTGATGGCGTAGTCCCAGAGCCATCGCTTCAGCAGAATAGCAAAGAGAAGGCTGCTAGCAAAATAGGTCAGTTCCATGGACAGCAAGTTGACTAGAGAAATGGTAAGGGAAAACAACCCTTATTCTGAATTAAAGACAGATACAGAAAACCCCCGAGATGCGACCGCTCGAGTTACAACCCCCCACACTTACAAACATTTTTGTAAGTGCGGAAGGGGCCGAAAACCCCCAACTTACATCCTCAGCCTGCATTTACAATGGTGCACGGCACCTATCGTAAATGAGGGTTAGAGTAAATGATGGAACTAATCACATCGCAAGTCGGGGGCCACATGTACAGCTCACAGCAGGGAGCAATGTTCCCTCTAATTTTTTCCATCATGTGCAGAATAAATTTTGTTATGCACACAAAGCCATGTGTGAATGTGCCCCAACAGTAGAAACACATGCTGCTGGCAGTGGGCACTCTGCTAATCAGCTGGGAGGCATTTGAATTTCTCCTGGATGGCTGCCCAAGCGCTCAGCTTACATGGGTCACTGGCAGGGAGCCCCGGATGTACAGAGTCCTTGCCCATAGGGTGCAAAAGAAAAACCTCAAAATCATCCTGGAGTTAATTTCCTGGCAGAGTTTATCAACATACAGTTTCTGCTGATTCTAATGGGAGGTACTGTGAGGGGATATACACAAAGTCCACTTCCATAAGACAAAAAAATCCAGTGGTGTCTCCTTACAATAGTGGGGACCAGTTTACTGTTCTCCCAGTGACTATGCTCAGAGAATCCAACTTCACACATCCTTTCCTCTCCCAGTTAGATGTTAACACATTTTAGGCCTTGAAAGATCCCTGTGATGTTATCCATTCGAAAGTGATTGTTCACATCACTTACCCAGATATTTGGGATTTGAGTGAGATGGTTCTGTGTTAAATTCAAAGGGGATAAGTCCATCAAATGTGTCCAGCCTGAAAGGAAAAACAAAGAAAAATTTTAGGAAATTAAAAATGATCAAAGACTTTTAAACTGATCCCCACTAAAAATACATTTGCCAACAGTTACTGCACAGAGAGATCTGAGATAGCACATGTCATTGTTACAGGGCCAGCTGCATCTCTTGCCCTTTGTGGTCTCTCTAGGGTGTGTCTACACTGGACCCTTACCTTGAAATAAGCTACTCAATTTGCATAGTGCAAATTGCGTAGCTTATTTTGAGGTAATTTTGAAATAAAGTGCTATTCCAACAAGTCCCTTAGCCCTTGCGGAACAAAGGTTACAGGGACGCCAGAATAGCGCACCTGTTATTCTAAAATATACTTTGAAATAACAGGCATGTTTAAAGACATGGAATAGCTGTTTCAGGATACCAAAATCAAAAGAAAAACAAAAAAACCCTCACTGATGCAACCTCCTGCTGAGGAGAAAGTGGGTTATTTTCTGCCCTTCTTTCCCTTTCTGTGTGGTTTCCCCAACAGCCCTCTATTAAACTAAGCCAGTGATACTATCTATATTTTTTGTTAGTCTCTAAGGTGCTACAGGACCACTTGTTTTATACATTTTCTTTACTTACAGACTAACACGGCTACCCTTCTGAAACTTTAAGTCAGTGTATTCATAGCATAAGCATCCCAATAATCAGGTTAGCATACAGGGCCCGTACATTAATACAGAGCAGCTACTAATCCATCATATTGCAACCACCCTACATTTAGAACAGAATATAAACATGGCTCCCGTGCAGTACTGATTGACAAGTTTTGACATTTAAATGGCACCACCATGCCGTCTGCAAGCTGGTTTGCTGCCTAGAGGGTAGCCTGTCTTGCATCCACGGACTGGTGTCTGCTTCATACAAATTGCCTTCTCCAATTGATGCTAGCTGGCCCCCTTTGCTGATACTCTTAGCAGAGAGGCTGGCAGTTTAGGTTGGGATTTTCAAAAGAGACTCAGGTATCAAGAGCCACTTCTATTGAAATTCAGTGGTGCTGAAGTCCACATCTTCAAAAGTATTTAGGTATTCAGTGGGAGTTAAGTGTCTAGTATCTCTGTGGCTTTGGGCCTGCATACTTGACTCTTACTTCCCTTGAAAATCCCAGCCTGACTGAAGATGTAACTCTTCTGTCAACCA